GGCCCGCTCCCTCAGCAAGATGGTGGTAGAGATGCAGCCGGAGCTCTCGTTCAAGATGGCACTGGCGAGGAACTCGCTCCAGCTGGACTCCATCCCCTCTCACGAGGCAGTGGAGAAGTACGCAGAGCACGTTCTGTCGGAGGTGGAAGCGATCGCCCACTTGGAGAAGGAGGTCAAGGCCCCAGCGGGGAAGGCGCAGGCCACGGACACCCGGATCAAGAAGGCAGAGGCCGTCGACTCCAAGAATGAGGTGAAGAGCGCTGGAGAAGGTGGGAAACCATGCAAGTTTTTCCTCACCGAGAAGGGCTGCAGGAGAGGACGTGGCTGCCGTTGGAGCCATGACCAGAAGGATGAACGCATGAGATGCTGGTCGTGCGGGGCGAGCGAGCATATGCGAAAGGACTGCCCCGTGGCGATCAAGAGCAACGTGGACCGAAAGCCGAAGGCGGCGAAGGTCAACGCGGAGGAGGAACCGAAGAAGGACGTCGGGACGGAGAACCAGAAGGTTACAACTCCGAGGGCGTCTACGTCGGCAACGGTGCAAGAGGATTCCCCGGGAGCGGCGAGTTCGGCATCGGGCGACAAGGAGACGGACGCAATGAAGGACGTGCTCCAGGAGGCGACCAAAATGCTCAGGAGCATCAACGTCAAGACCGGCAAGAACGGACCGGAGGACGATGAGAAGAAGCTGATGGAGCTGCAGAAGCAGCTGGACGGCATGCGAGAAAAGATGCGGGTTCGACAGGTGAGGTTGTCGAAGATGGAGATCGGTGGGATGCGCGGACTGGTGGATTCAGGAGCAACGCACCCGCTGAGACCCATGATGAAGGGCGAGGACACCTCGGACTATGAGGAGAAGACCGTAGAGTTGGCGGCTGGAGAGACCTACCGCCTGAAGGTCACCTCGGGAGGAACCCTGGTTGCGGAAGACGAGCGGATACAGCCGATCATCCCCATGGGAATGCTCACGAAGGACTTGAATTGCCAGGTCAAGTGGAGCGGGAAGACATGTGCGGTGGTGCACCCTGGACGAGGACGTCTACCGGTGGTGATGAGTCAAGGCTGCCCGGAGTTGCCGAGAGAACTGGCCCTCAACTTGATCCAGGAGCTCGAGGGGGTGAACCGCTACAGGGTCAAGGCGATGTCAAAGCGGGATGAGGTGGACTTCATCAAGCAGGTGGTGGAGACGCACCCGGTGTTCGACGGTGTGCCGGGGGCGATCAAGGAAAAGTTGATGGTCAACCCGGCGGAGGACTGGAAACCTCTGGGATTGAACAGGAGCCGGAGGAGAAGGCTTGAGAAGAAGGGAGGTGCGATTGTGCACTTGTTTGCAGGCCCGGAGGAGGGATTTGATTTGTCCCGAGCTTACAAAGAGCAAGGAGGTGATCCAAGGACATCCTGGAGTATGACATCCTCCGTGACAACAGCCACGACCTCATGGACGACGAGCTCATGGGTGGCTTGGTGCGGCTGGCTTTGGATGACCGAATCAAGGCAGTGGTGGGGGGCCCGAATTGCAGGACGCGATCAGTGCTGCGGTTCTTCCCCTTGCTCAACAGGGCCAAACCGCGACCGGTGAGAACGGTGGAATATCCCTGGGGATTGCCGGGGATGGACCAAGGAGAAGAAGCCATCGTCTACGAGGATGACGTGCTCATGTTCCGTTTCATCCTGGTCTACTTGCTGGCAGACCTCACGGCAAAGGCCAGAGAGGAGAAAGGGGGCGCGGTGGAGTTCTTCCTGGAGCAACCGGCAGAGCCGCAGACGGAGCCGAGGTGTGCATCGTGGTGGCGGACACCGGAGTGGGAAGCCCTGGAGAAGCTCCACGAGCTCAAGAAGGTGACGTTCTTGCAAGGTGACTGGGGTGGGCGAGCGGCGAAGCCTACAACGATCGGGACCACCATGGACTTCAGAGGCCCCGAGAAAGGCATCTGCAAGCTACATCAAGGAGGTCATCAAGGGCAAGAACAGGAGACGGACAAGCCGAGGTGGATGATGACGGATGAGGAGAAGCTCAGTTCCTCGAAGGCGTTGGCTCGATGGGCCCCTGGGATGATGCGGGAGCTCGCCAGATGCCTTCGGAAGGAGGTGGACGGTGAGTCGAGAACGAAAGTGAAGGCCCTGTCGTGGGAGGAGCATGTGAAGTTGGGGCACCTGCCGTTTCGGCGGGACTGCCGAGTTTGTCAGGAAGCCTCAGCCAAGGACAGGCCACATCGAAGGGTGCGACATCCAGCCGGGAATGTCCTCTCAGTGGATTTGAGTGGGCCGTTCATCAAGGGCATCGATGTGGATGGAGTCCAAGACCGAAGGTACCTGCTCGTGGCTGCGTTCACATGGCCACAGATCCACACCGAAGAAGGTGAGGAACTTCGAGAAGATCTACTACCGGTGGAGGAACAGGTGGATCAGGACGAGCAGGAGGAAGAAGAAGGCTTCATTGTGGAAGGAGCCCGAGAGGAGGACGAGCAGCCGGTGATTCCGGAAATCCAGAAGGAACCGCACCCGCTGAAGACGTTGTACATGACGGTCCCGCTGAAGTCCAAGGACAAGCGAGAGGTCTTGGCGGCGATCCAGGAGGTCTATATCAGACTGAGGAGAGAGGGCCACCTGGTGCTGAGACTGCACTCAGATAAAGGAGGCGAGTTCATGAGCAAAGAACTAGCCAGCTGGTGCCGACTGAGGGACATTAGAAAGTCCACCAGGACACCGGATCAGATGCAGGAGAACGGAAGGGCAGAGGCCGCAGTTGGGGTCGTAAAATCCATGGTGAGGAGGGTGCTGATAGCATCACGATGGGAATCGAAGTGGTGGCCCTGCATCGCCCGCTACGTCTCGGAGGTGCGCTTCAAGTTTGACCAGACCGGAGACCATCCGAAGTATCAGTTCGGAGAGGAGGTGGTGGTGCCGAAGAGAGCTTGGAAGCAGAAATCCTTTGAGGCGAAGAATCAGCGAGGCAAGTACCTGGCCCCGCTCTATGACATCACCCACGGTCACGCGGTGAAGCTGGACTGTGACAACAAGGTGGTGGCGGTGTCGAAGGTTCTCTCAGGCTTGCGAGAAGGGGAAGCCCCGAGAGCAGAAGGACAGGAGGAGGAAGAGAATCCTGATGGGGAAGCTCTGTTCGATGAAGCTCTGCGTGTGAGAAGACGGTTGAGGATGAAGACGAGCGATCCGAGAAGGATGGACGATGGAGGAGGTGAGAAGGTTGCGGAGCGGATTCGATTGTTGCGGAACCTCATCATGGAGGAGGAAGAAAGGATGTTGGAAGATGGAGAAAACGCAGCTGAGGTCACCTTCAAGATGGTGAGGAAGCTGAAGGAAGAAGAGGAGAACCTGAAGCAGACCGTGCCGGACCACAAGGAGGCAGAGAAGGTCTTGCATACAAAGATGGTCTCCACGAATGAGGTGATCGCGGACAAGGAAGCCTGGGCAACGTCGATCAAGATGGAGCTGGATTCTCTGATGACAGAGAAGAAGGCGTTGCGGCGATTGGCTCCTGGGGAAGCCGCGAAGTTGATCAAGGAGAAGGGCAACAAGCTGACCGTGGTCCCGGGCAAGGCCATCTTCAGTGTGAAAGCGGGAAGTTCGCGGCGGAAGACCAGGTTGGTGGTGTGCGGGAACTACGTCGCCCAGAACTCGGAGGCGGAAGGAGACACCTTTGCGGGCGGTACGGACATCGCGGCGATCCGCTTGCAGGTGAAGGTCGCCATGGAGAGGAAATGGACGATGTCCGCGTTGGACATTAAGTCTGCCTTCCTCAATGCAGATCTGCGTGGGGAAAAGGAGCCGGAGCACCTGGTGGCGATGCGGCCGCCGGCGATCATGGTCAGAATGGGCTACGCAGAGCCCGGAGAACTATGGCTGATAGACAAGGCCATGTATGGGCTTCGCCAAAGCCCGAGAAGGTGGTCAGACCATCGAGACGCGGAGCTCGTGACGGTCCAGTGGGAGGTCGACGGCGCCTACTACAAGTTGGATCAGTGTGCTGCAGAACAGAATTTGTGGCGCATCCTGGAAATCCGAGGCGCGGAGGAGATCTTGGCGGGACTGGTCACTATCTACGTCGATGATGTCCTCACTGCGGCGGAGGAGGCCGTGCGAGAAAGGTTTGAGGCCATCATTGCGCAGAAATGGGAGACGAGCGTGCCGGAGGTGTTGAAGACCGGGAATCAGATTCGATTTCTGGGAATGAACTTGAAAAAGGAGGAGAATGGAATCTTCCTGCACCAGCAGGACTACGTGGAGGAACTGCTGACCCGGCACAAGGACGAGGTGAAGAAGGCGAAGGCGCCCATGTCCAAGGAGATGGCGGATGAGGCGGAGGAGACGATCGGCAACCACACGATGACGGATCTTGCAAGAGCACAGAAGGTGACGGGCGAGATCTTGTGGTTGATGACGAGAACACGGCCCGACCTCCTCTACAGTATGAGCCGACTATGCAGCATGGTGTCGAGAAGTGGGTCATCAGAGCTGCGGGCTATATCCTGGGCTACCTGGACTCGACGAAGGACTGGGGGCTGTGGGTGTCTGGAGAATCTGGACGGCGTTGGAGCGGCCATGGAGCAGCAGGACTTCAGGCATACGCTGATGCCTCCTTCGCCCCACTTGGGGAAAGAAGCCAAGGATGCTCCCTGGTGTCGTGGAACGGCACGGTCATCGCGTGGAAGGCAGGGAAGCAAGCATTTCCGGCCTTATCCACGGCGGAATGTGAGTTGATCGAGGCCATCGACAGCGTGATCCTTGGGGACAGCGTTGAAGCGCTGATCACGGACATATTGGGGCTGGACGACTTCAAGAAGATGCTGCTGTCTGACAATGCAGCAGCGGTGGCGATAGCCACGGACGTGACGGGATCCTGGCGAACGCGGCATCTTCGGCTTCGAGCGTTTCATCTTCGGTGGCGAATCAGAGCCGGGGATTGGGAGTTGCGCCATTGCCCTGGACAACAGATGTTGGCTGATCTTGGCACAAAGCCACTGGGCCCAGCGAGGGTCAAGGAGCTGTGTGCCTTGTGGAATCTGAAGGCCATGCGAGAAGAGGATGAACAAAGCAGGCTGAACAAGGCCGTGGTAATGCAGCCGGAGGTGGACAAGTGGATCAAGCTGCTGGTGATCTTGATCATGATCACAGGATGCCGAGCTCAAGGGAATCAACAGCCGGAGGAGGAGAAGATTGACCTTGCGGTGGTGGTCTTGGTGATCGCAGTGGTGGCGATTGTGGTGTACCGCTTGGTCCACGAGGTGGCATCGGACATCTGTCTGAAGGTGAGAAGATTGAGAGTGAGAGGTGTGGAGCAGAGCACCCAGACGGAAAGTGAGGAAAGGTGCCGAGGACACAGAGCTCTTCGGCGGCCAGGTCTTCCAGCTCGGGAAGCGGGAATCCCTCAAGGGCAAGTTCAATGAGGAGGCGCCGAGGGGGAGACGCTGATCGAGCAGAACAGCCAGTTGCAGAGCGACCTCAGCCGAGGCCAGTGGAACCGGATGCGGAGGACGAACGCTTGAATGCACGATGGCGGGAGGAGTTGCGGGTGATGGAGCAGCTTCGGTGGCGGGAGTTGCAACCGGAGCCCGAAGCGGTCGAGGTATATCACTTGACCGGAATGGGCGACAAGATTCATTGGCGCCGCAACTGTTATGGGTTGCGAAATGCCACAGTTCGCGGAATGCGGGCGGTTTTGCCTTGTTCCAGATGCTGGATGGGAGGAGACAGGCAGCGAGTTCGTGGGGCCAGGAGCTGGAGAGGAGATGACGGCTTCTTGCACGCGTCGATTCACTGCGCCGGCATTGGGCAGGCTCCACTTCGACCCTTGCAGCCATGCAGTTTCTGCCAGGGAGGAGTGACCCAGGACAATGAAGAGATGATGAGGGACGCGGGCCGGTTTCCGCGTGGACTTCTATGAGCGGCTTGAGCTGAACACGTTCTTCGGATGACGTGAGAGGCTCGCAAGGCAGCACAGACTGCCGACTTTTGTCACACAAAGGGGAGGAGTGCAGGTTTTCCAAAACAGTTTGAGATTTGATTAGGAGCGGATTCTGAAGCCGCTTTGGACTCGAGCGCACAGACAAAAGTGCGCCGGACTGATAGCCAGATTCACACGGAGAACCTCTAGTGCTCTAGTGCTGCTCCAGTGCTCCTCTAGTAATCTGTGGCATCTAGTGCTTCTCTAGCACTCATCTCTGGTCTCCTCTCGTGCTGTTGGTTGCTCCTCTAGTGCTCGTACTGCCAGCGCTCTGGTGCTCCCTAGAGCTCTTCAAGTGCTCCGCTGGCTCCTGCTCTTGCACAGAGCCAACCCGAAGCCAACCACAAGCCGAACCTAAACCGTGCTTCTCCGGTGCTCCTCTAGTGCTCTCAAGTGCTCCTTTGGCGCTCTTCTTGCTCAACTACTAGTGCCACTGGTCTTCCAGTGATCCTCTAGCACTCCTGCAGCGCACTTCTCTGTGATCTTTAGTGCTCCTGCGGTTACTCTTTGAGGCTACTGCTCCTCTACTGCTCTTCAGTGCTACTCCAGCATGGTCCTTCAGTGCTCTTCTCTCTTGTAAGTGCTGCTCTGGCGCTCATCAAGTGCTTGTCTAGTGCTCCTCCAACACTTCTTTGCGCTTTTCTCCTCCAAGCACTACGAAAAAAGCTATGCTGCCAGAGCGCACGCCAACAAAAGCCGTGGCCTGGCGAAGGACTCGCTTTTCTCGCAATGTCGGCCACTTCTTTGGTGTTCCTTTGGTCTTCTCTTCTAGAGCTCCTCGAGTGCTCCTCGAGTGCTCCTCGAGTGCTCCTCGAGTGCTCCTCGAGTGCTCCTCGAGTGCTCCTCGAGTGCTCCTCTGCTCCTCGAGTGCTCCTCGAGTGCTCCTCGAGTGCTCCTCGAGTGCTCCTCGAGTGCTCCTCGAGTGCTCCTCGAGTGCTCCTCGAGTGCTCCTCGAGTGCTCCTCAAGCTCCTTTAGTCCTCGTGCTCTTCTAGACAGATAGATATAGATAGATAGATGGATAGAGGTGTAGGTTGGCAGGTAGATTGAAAGATAGAGTTAATGAAAGGATAGATTCATAGACAGATAGATAGGTAGAGGTAGATAGAGATAGATAGAGATATGTAGATTGGTAGATAGCTAGATCGAGAGACAAGATAGAGATTAGATTTCTTAGATAGACAGTTAGCTAGTTAGACAGCTAGATTGATAGATACAGAGATACAGGGATAGCGATAGAGAGAAAGAAAGAAAAGAAACTTTAGAGCCTCCGGCTCACTCCGCCGACATTGTCCTCTCCCTTTTCTCCTTCTTCATCTCTCCCTTGTCTCCCTTGTGTGTTCTGTTGTCCTCCCTCCGCTCCCGATCCTCCCCATCCCCCCAAGCCTCTCTCTCCTCCATCTCCCTCTCTGTCTGTCTCTATCTCTCTCTCTCTCTCTCTCTCTCTCCCTGTCTCCTTCCTGTCCTTACCCCTCTACAGAAAAAGGGTACCCTCGTTCGAACCTCTCTACTGGAGGACCTAGTCTCTCTCTCTCTCTCTCCCTCTCTCTCTCTCTCTCTCTCTTTCTCGCGCTTCTCTCTGTCTCTCTCTCTCTCTGTCTTTCTGTGTCTCTCTTTGTCTGTCTCTCTCTTTCTCTCTCTCTCTCTACCTGTCTCTTTCTCTGTCTCTTTCTCTGACTCTAGCTCTGTCTCTGCCCCTCTCTCTCTCTCTCTCTCTCTCTTTCTCGCTCTCTGTGTCTCTCTCTCTCGCTCTCTCTCTCTCTCTCTCTCTCTCTCTCTCTCTCTCTCTCTCTCTCTCTCTCTCTCTCTTTCCCTCTCTATCTCTCTCCCGCTCTCTCCCTGTCTCTCTCTCTCTCTCTGCGTTGCAGCGTCACGTCCCCCCTGAGTCTCGATGTCCGGGCACTGCCCCTTCACGACCCTGAACTGTCATCGCACTACTGGCTTTCCCCTTGATTTCCCCTTCATGTGCATGTATGAATGAATGTATGTATGTATGTATGGATGTATGTATGTATGTATGTATGTATGTATGTATGTGTTAAAACCCTCTAGGCCCCGTGCCGAAATTGGGTAGCAGTTCTGAGGTCCTTGTTGGTGTTGCTTCCCAAGTTCCATTGATCGCCATTTGGCTCAAGACACAATTGAGGTTCAAGATCTGATGTGTGACTGCGGATATCCGTGATTGGCATTAGGAGGAAAACAACTGCTTGCGCCGCACTGTCAGGACTACTGTGTGACTATCATTCCTTCTTCCTTACAACGTTTACACGGGTTCGGCTATAACGGCATCGTCCGTATACACCTTTCTACGTGGTTGGTATTGAAGCTTGAGGGTTCGGTGCACAGCGTCCCACGGGACGTCACCTTGCCGTCTCTTGACAGGTTATCAGCCGTAACTACAAGCTCTACACTGGACTGGGAGACAGCTGGTTTATTGCGGGTACAGGGACAATAAAGGAACGATAACATACACAGTACAATGGCGTCTTCGGCGAGCCCAAGTACTGCAACTTTTGGGAACAGCAGCTCAGAGGGATCCAATGGATTGATGGCTCTTCCTGCGGTGATGGATATGGTTGCAGATTCACAGGATGAACCTGGGAGCGGAGGTTCCGCGCTATTCAGCGACATATCTACTCCCACAAGATCATGGAAGCAGATCGATGTTCATCAGGAGTCGAAGAAAAGAGAATCCCCACCGAGAAGATCATCATCTTCGCCTGCGACACCACGGACGTCGCAGAAGGGCGTGAGATCGACATCGAAGGGTGGGAGGTCAAAATCACCCACCAGTGCAGATTTTCGCGCCGTGATCAAAGAGAAGAATAAGATGGAGGTGGAGATCGGGGAATATCAGAAGACACTTGATGAGATGTCGGCAGCAATGGCGAATCTTAACCAAGAAGACTATGGAAGCACCATCCGGATCCAGGAGCTGGAAAGACGATGCGAGATTGCCAGCAAGCAGTCGGGACATCTAGTGAGTCACCACCAACACCACATGGCTGAGGCATGGCGCAAGTTTGAGGAAGAAGCCCAACAGATGCGCAAGGTGGAAATGAACGCATTTCAGTACGGGGAGAAGAAAGACATGGAGTCGAATATTATGATGCAACAGGTGAGGCAAGCTGAAGGAACTATCATGGAGCAGAAGCGGGAGATTGCATTGATGAAATCCTACATGGCAAGCGAGAAATCGGCCGCGCAGGAATCAGCTATACGTGCAAATCAGATACACCGTGAGGCTTCACAACAGATATCAGCTTATCAGCAACAGATCAGAGGCATAGAATCTTCTACATCTATCGAGAAGTTCAACGAGGAGGAGATGGTCCAAAGTCTGAAATCACAGTTGGAGCATGCACTCGTCAAGCGCCCCGAGACGTACTCTTTGGAGGACTCCAGGGAACAGCTGATGGCGAGGCTGAATGACGTTACAGTATTTGCGGAACAGGAATCGAAGAGAGCAGATTGCTTGCTTCGCGAAAAAGAAGAGATCGTCAAACAGTATGAGTCCGACGTGTCGATGAAGGACCAGATGATTGCTGTCGAAGGTGGTCATCGTCAGGATGCGATCTTGGAGTTAGCCCAGGTCAAAGAAGAGAAACAAGAGGAACGGTGCACGATGGACGAGAAGTCGAAGGAGGCCGAGTACTGGAGACAGACAGCCAAGGGAGTGTACGATGAGTACCTCGAGGAGATGCATGAGCTTCAGGGACAACTGAAGGAAAGAGAGGCGACGCTCAAGCAAGAAGAGAGTTTTGTACGCCAACTCGATGCTGACAACGAGGAACTACGTGCACACAAGAAGCTGGAGATGCAGGAAGCCTCCAGCAGCAAAGATGGACATCGTGAACGAGCAGTAGTGAAACGCGCTGAGGGAGGAACCCAGGCTAATTCAAGTAGGATAGACAAGAAGGTGGCTGGGTTAATCCCGTCATCGTCTTCGAAACAAATCCCTAATTCGTCGCTGATGCCAGGTTCGATCCTCTTTCCGTCTTTCGGTGATCCAATGATCGATGTACACCTATCCCAGATGCAAGGGGTTGTTGGGCATGTCCCACAATCCACTACTACGACTGGTGGTGGTGATGGAGGGGGAAACAACGGTACTACGCCCCCATTGGATTACGGTGGATTCCCGCCCAATGGGAATGGGCAGGGAGCGGGTCGACGTCAGTTGAGCCTCGCTGGTGGCGGAGGAGGACCTCCGGATGATCCACCCGATGATGAGGATGAGGATGACG